GAGAGAGCGAGAGAGAGGAGCACGGAGAGGAGAATGGCTCAGTCACCACCCCGCAATTTGTGGACAAACGAGGGGCGCGAAGTGCTATATGGCAGTACTTCGGCATAAAAACAAATGAGCAAGGAGAGGCAATTAACGTTGATGCGCCATTGTGTAAACGATGTTTTAAAACATGCATGGCTAAAGGCGGAAACACCTCCAACTTAGCCAAATACCTACAGGACAAGCACCCAGACCTGCACACTGAGTTCAGGGAACGACAGGTAATTTACTCATGACATGTGCCCTTTTCAAATACAATAGTTCAATAGTTTTAAGTGTGCAACACATGATAAAGAGTTCTTATCAAACATAGAAATTTTTTTTCTAAATTTGAATAAAAAAATGTGTTTTTTCAAAACGTTAAATGTGGTTACAGCACAGTCCTTCAGTGTTTTACATACATATTTAGCCATTTAATATGTTATAAAGACTGGTAACATACCATTTAAAAACATTGGTCCTACTTAAGACAGGCTATATGTAATGAAAATATTTTTTAGGTTATGTATCTCAACGTAAATAAGGCCTCAGCTTGTATGACAAATGTATCACCTTAATTTTATTTTTTCACTGCAGAGGTCTGGTGCTTCTGGTCCGGAGACAGTGACCCCACTCAGATGCAACCTACTCTTTGGGCTGTTTTTGAGCAGCATACAAAATATGCAAAAGACGCGAAAGATGCTAAAAGGCTGAACAGAGCAGTCGCCGAATACATCTGCATGGACCAAGTGCCACTATATACAGTTGAAAAGGCTGGGTTCAGAAACCTTATTCAGCAGCTGGACAAACGATATGACCTCCCTCAAGGAATTTTTTTCATGTACAATGAAATTCCAAAAATATATGAAGAGGTAAGGTCAATAATTAGTGCACAGCTGGCAGATAAACCATTCTTCTCCTGCACTACAGACATCTGGACAAGCAGAGCTATGAGTTCCTACATGGCTGTAACTCTGCAGTTCATTACAGCATCCTGGGAAATGCAGTCCTGGTGCATGGGATGCTCTGCTTTGCAGTCTGACCACACAGCAGACACTCTGAAAGAGGTCCTGGAAGATGTCATCGTGGACTCCTGGGGCCTTGATATGGCAAAAATGTCTGGAATCACAACAGACAATGCAACCAACAACCGCAAGGCATTTTCCAACCAACTCTGGATTCCCTGTTTTGGCCACAATTTGCATTTAGCAGTCAAAAAGGCCATAGAAATCGATCGTGTGGCGAGCTGTCTGTCCCGGCTACGTAAGACAGTGTCAGGCTTCTCGAGCTAATAAAATGTCAAGGCAACTGAAGGAAAAACAAAAATCTTTAAAGCTACCAGAACACACGCTAATTCATGATGAGCCTACACGTTGGGGATCCACCTATGATATGGTGGAACGCTTTTGTGAGCAGCAGCAAGCAGTCTGTGCTGTTCTAGCTGATGACAGAAAAAAATGGTTCCTGATGCCGAAAGACACAGACATGACAACTTTGGAAACAGTAAGGGATGTCCTGGCTCCACTCAGTGATTTTACAGATGCCATTAGTGGAGAGAAAGAAACAACTCTCTCATCAGTCCTGCCACTCCTGTGGAAAATTAAAGCCTGTCTGAAAGCTGAGGAAGGTGACAGTCCACTGGCACTGGAAATGAAGGAGAAATGTAGAGAAGACTTTGAAAAGAGATATGATGAGCACAATATTAAGATGGCACTGAACATCTGCACCTACCTAGACCCCAGATTTAAAACCACATTTGTTACAATGGAAAAGGAAGTTAAAGAGGAACTGCTCCTAAAAGCTTACACAGTTCTGCTTCCAGAGGACTCAGACTCGAAGCACCAACCAGAAGGTGCTGTAGCAAAAAAAAAAAGAAGTGATCTAAAAAGCCTGCTCTGCACCATCACCTACGAAAAGAGGGGAGCAGACAGTTCAACAGGACAAGATTCATCCACATTGACAACACCTAAAGACAAACTAAACCGTGAGATGACTGACTATGAACAGTTAAAAGATATAAGTGCTGCACAGGACCCCCTAGCCTGGTGGGGTCATCATGAGTCTGATCTTCCCATCCTGGCTCAGTTTGCAC